CGTGCAGGAGAACTCTGTAAGCGTGACTTGAATTAACCATTTAGGTGCAATAGACCAGCCTGGATTGCTTTTGTCGCAACCAGGCTTCCACACGTGATATTTCCACGGGGATAACAAACCTAGGTTAACACACTTAGTCTCGTGTCGATCACGGTCACAGTAGACGGGTGTCGTGCAGGAGAACTCTGTAAGCGTGAATTAATTAACCATTTACTGTAGGTTTGATAGGCCAGCCTGGATTGCTCTTGTCGCAACCAGGCATCCACACGTGATTTTCCACGGGGATAACAACCTAGGTTAACACGCTTAGTCTCGTGTCGACGACGGTTCACAGGACGGAGTGGCGGTAGAGAACTCTGTGTGGTGTGGTGTGGTGTCCCGCCCCCTTTCAAGAGGGAGAGGATGGAGACGACGTCTTAACTAACCCATGGCCCAGGGGATACTACTCAAAATGAGGTTTTTGGGTGTGAAGCGATGAACAGTACAACACTGTTTCACTGCCCACCCCCCTAAAGGCTGGCTAACATACACTAATTGAAAAATACATGTCCCAGTTATGCCTCGCCGGGCGTCTTATCTCTGGTAAAACAAACTTTGGAGTTGGTTGCGTGGGTAAGCCTAACGCAACCCATGACACTAACCACACCCTGCAAAATACAGTGTACTTAGCAAATGCTGCAGCTTCTGAGAATGTGGGGGGAGCGGGTTTATTACTAAGAGCAGAGACGTTACCGAGAACAAATTCTGGCTTGAGTGTCATGTACACTAATACTGACACGTTCCTTGATAAGAGAGAGGAGTTTGAAACACTACTAAGAGTACACCAACCAGATATTGTAGGAGTTGTAGAACTGTTGTACAAGAACAGGAGAATCGACCCAGAGGAATGGGAGTTCAGTATTGCTGGATATGACTCATTTACGAACCTAACTCAAGAATCCTGCAGGAGGGGTGTGGTTATCTACGCTAGGCAAGACCTTAGAGCCAGCCAGGCGAGGGTACAGGGAGAGGATGTTTTTGAAGAGTCCAAGTGGTGTAAAATAAAAATTAAAGGGAGGAGACTTACTTATCGTCGGATGCATCTACAGTTCCCCAAACTGTGGCCCACTAAATCAAAGGAACTTAAGAACATTAATAAACAATGCGGCGATGCTCAACCCTAGCCACCTCCTTATCATGGGGGACTTTAACTATGGCGACATCGACTGGAGAAACGAGTCCACCCCGAATGACTTGAATAACCCTGCTACTCTTTTTGTAGAAACTCTGAGAGATAGTTTTCTGTTCCAACATGTGAGAGACCCGACACATTACAGAGGGGAACAAACACCCAAGCTACTTGACTTCATCATAACAAACGAGGAGGGTATGGTGGCCAAACTGGAACACCTTGCCCCAGTTGGCACCAGTCACCATACAGTGTTGTCATTCAGATTTAACTGTTACCTAGTTCAAGATAAGGCCAGGCCAAGGTGCAAATATTACAAGGGAAATTACAATGGGATGAGGGAAGAGATGAGGGGTATCAACTGGCCTGACTTATTAAGGTACAAGAACGCAGACACTATGCTGAATATCATAACTAATAAAATGACCCATTTGATCGATAAATATATACCCAAGACCAAACCCAGTGCTTCTAAGAATACGAGGGGATCACTACACATGAACCATGCGGCGGTCGACAAAATTAAGAAGAAAACCCAGAAATTCAAGACGTGGGTTGGGTCAAACGATGAGCAAGACAGGAGGATGTATGCAAGAGCCAGAAACTAAGCAAAGATAGAGTGTAGGAGGGCTGAAAAGGAGTTCCAGAGGCTGGTTGCACGCGAGGTCAAGTCAAACCCAAAGGCGTTTTACCGCTATGCAAAGTCGAAATTGAAAATGCGAGTAGGAGTATCAGACCTGAGGCTTGAAGATGGTAGTTACGCAGGTTCTGACCAGGATAAAGCTGAGGCATTGAACAGCTTCTTTTCCTCAGTGTTCACAAGAGAGGATGCAACTAACCTTCCTGCGTTTGAGGACAGACGGTTCGACACAGCACTGACCCACATTGTGTTCACAGAAGAGGGTATTAGAAATAAACTGTCCAGGCTAAAGGTCCATAAGAGTCCCGGACCTGACATGGTGCATCCTAGAGTGCTAAGAGAGCTGTGCAACGAGCTTGCAGAGCCCCTGAAGATCCTGTTTTGTAAATGCCTGGATGAACAAATGGTCCCCAGTGAATGGAAAGTGGCTTATGTGAGTCCTATCTTCAAGAAGGGCGATAGTCACTCCACGAACAACTATAGACCGGTGAGCCTGACCAGCATAATATGTAAAGTACTTGAGAGTATTATCAGAGATGCCGCGATGGAACATCTACTACGAAACGACCTTGTAAAAGATTGCCAACACGGTTTTATGCCGGGGCGCTCTTGCTTAACACAATTGCTCAAGGTATTGGATATTTGGACCCATATTCTGGAACAGGGGTGGTAATATCGACAATATTTACCTAGATTTTGCCAAGGCTTTCGACAGTGTACCCCACGAAAGGCTGAAAATCAAACTGGAAGGGTACGGAATTCGGGGAAATGTCCTAGCGTGGATAGAAGACTTTCTACATGACCGCAAGCAGTGTGTGGTGATTAATGGCACGAAATCGTCATCTGTACCTGTAACAAGTGGGGTACCACAGGGCAGTGTATTGGGCCCGCTGTTGTTTGTTTGTTTCATAAATGACATGCCTGACGTTGTACACTCCTCCATACAAATGTTTGCTGATGATGGCAAGTTATTTCGGGAAATTAAGAACCAAGCGGACTGTGAAGAGCTGCAGAAGGACCTCTGTGGGCTCCAGGAATGGTCGAAGAAATGGCTGCTGAGATTCAATGTCACGAAGTGTAAGAGGATGCACCTGGGGCGTACCAACGGTAAGGAGGCGTATCATATGTCCCAACGGGATGAAGAAAATGCACTAGTTGAGACTGTGTGTGAGAAGGACCTAGGTGTGTATGTTGTCAATGAGCTGAAGTTCTCGGGCCATTGTGAGAAGAAGGTAAATCAGGCAAATAAATTATTGGGTCTTATAAGAAGGTCGTTCAGATATCTAGACGGTCCGTCCCTCGTAACGATCTTCAGGAGTGAAGTGCTTCCCCATCTGGAGTACTGTCACCCCATCTGGTCCCCGAGGTATGCTAGGGACTGTCAGTTGGTTGAAAATGTTCAAAGGAGGGCTACGAGACTGGTGCCTGCACTTCGGCACTTCAGCTACCCTGAGAGATTGGAGCGCCCGAACTTGCCTAGCTTATACTACCGACGGGCAAGGGGGGGACCTGGTTGAGGTGTATAAGCATCTCAGGGGGCACTACTCAGTTGAGTTTCCTTACTTGGAGCAGCCACCAGCTGCTACCATCTTCCCTAGCAACCAAACTAGCGGCCCAAGCGGGGGGGCGTCACCAGATGCCGCAGTATCCTAGCAACGGAGCAAAAGACCGGCTACTTCCTGGGTTTTCCCTACATGACTCACGGCTGACTCACGGCTGCTGGGTATATAAGCTCTGTCTCTCCATTGAGATTCATTCTGGCCATTTTTCCTGAACAAGCAACACCTCCTCCTCCTCCGCCGCTGCCTGGCGGTCCTCCCTCCGGCCGGCGAGCATGGCGACCCACCAGCTGTCCTTCTCTGAGCTTCCTCACCAACCAGCTCTCATTCTGGCCCATCTTCCTGAACACGCAACACCTCCTCCAGCAAGCTCCTCGCTGTCCAGCTTTCATTCAACCAGGAGGCCAGCAACAGGCAACATCTTCTCTAACGAAGCTCCTGCACATCTACCTCCTTCAACACGCTACTCACCGAACGTGTCTACTGAGCAGCTCCTCACCACACGGCACCTCCAGCACCAGACTGTCTACCATATAACTTATATTATATAAGAAAACCACCTTAGAGTTTCCATCCATCCTGAGTGCTAGACGACATTATACCACGAAACCCTACAGTATCGTTTCAGAAGTCATAGGTCTCACCCTGCACCAATACTTTTTGGTGCGAGTGTACCTGCATGGTCTTTATAAATGCTCGGTAGTATACTTTTCTATCAATGACCAATTTGGCTTGAGTAAGGGAAGAGATTAGTACCGGGCACACGCTTATTCTCGGGCGGGTTGCACTGTTGCACATGTTCTTAAACGTGGATAGTGCTGGACCACCACTCCACGACCCCTTGACGGAGACACGATGATCCTCCCCATACTGGCCAGATATTTTGTAAATAATATTGATTATGTGTTAAAGGAATATCCTTCCTTCCTTAGGCTTAAGTAAGCCCCTTTATAATATTTATACTGTATATACTTGTCACACTTGCCAGATGCTTCTGGTGTCATTGTACAGGGGTACCTAGTGACAGCACTAGGATCCCGCTTCCTCTATCAAGGAATAAACAATTGAAATTGAAATTGAATTGAACGTGGATAGAGAGACTTGCTAGGCAAAACATTACACTCCCAGGAGTTGCATTGCTCATCCTTCAGTTAACTGACTGTTGCGGGACAAGCGAGTGATCATTTTCACTCGGAACTCTTGAGATTGTAGGCATCTGGGTCCAATCAACCACAGGCCGAATATTTATGTGCCAGCTGGACTTTACTGTACATACTAAAGACTATTTTGGAGTATATAATTTATTTTGGACTACTGTACAAATTTTGATTTGACTTGGGATATTTTTATGTTTTTGTATAACATGTTTGTGTAATTATTCCTGTATGTAAAGTCTCATTCAAGATTCTTCGAACACTGCTAGAGACAGCTGGCAACTCAAGGCCGTTAGTTTACTATAGTACGTAGTGTAATATAATACGAAACAACAAAGCCCAACCATTAATTAAGCAACGGGGAACTAAGTAACCAGTGTTCGAAGAATCATGAACGAGACTGTACCTAATAATAAGAAAGGTATGTGAAAAGTTCTATGCTCAAATAAAGACCAACTGACGTGTTGTTCTCTCCTCAGGTGTGTGGTCCCATCCTGCGATAACAACAGTACTCAGTTCAATGAGACTTTCGTTGACTGGGCCATTCCTGAAGGCGACCAGTGCCATGTTAAAGTCAGGAAGAATGACACAGATCGGTGTACAGAGGATGCATTTCAGAATTCGACAACCACCTGCAACGAATGGGTGTATGATACATCAATGTTCACCTCCACTACTGTTTCAGAGGTTTGTGGGTTTGCCTGATACCTGATTTATTCTTACTCTTTGACTTATTATATGAAACAAAGGTATTATTGCATGTCACCTGGTATTGAATTTTGATAATTTTATGGTTGCAGTCAATAGTTTAGACAATTCAAAGACACATTTCTTCTATGAAGTTACATTAGCAAATGACCTATTTATGCCAGGGGGTCCAGCAGGGCAAAGCCTCCCGGTGAGGAGGTTAGGTTAGGTAATTTGCAAGAGAAACGTCATGGAAGAAAGGTGGGAAAATATTTATTAGTTGCCAACAACGAATTATATATAAAGTCTTGTATAGGGAAAATGAAAAACAAAACAAAACAAAATATTTTATTCTAAATCATTTCTGTCTGAAATGTATATTTTTGGAGTGTTATAACCAATAAAATTAACCACAATATTAGTTGTTCAAAGTGGGCAGGGCTTTGAAGTAGAGGGAAAATTTGGGGGTAAAAAGAAAACACTAAAACTTGAAAACATGACTGTGTTTCCTAACCTTTAAAAATCCTAAACTATAAAAAATATTAGCTTATTCATGCTTTTAGTGGTTTTCGATTTTTTATGTGTTGGTGTTGTTTTCTGTGCTCAGATGAGGAAGGATCCATAAACTCAAAAGTACTTCTTAATATTTTTACAAGTTAGGAAGGTTAGGTAAGGTTTTTAAAGGTTTATTTGGTGATATAAGTATTTTACCCCACATATTCCTTCTTCAAAGCCCTGCCCACGTTGAACAACTAATATTGTGGTTAATTGTATTGGTTAAAACACTCAAAAAATATAAATTTCTGCTGGAAACGTTATAGAATAAATTAATTAGTTTTCTCTTTCTCCTCATAAATTATAAGTACCAGTAGGTATTGGCAACTTCTAAATATTAACCAAAAAGTGTCTTAGAATTGTCTAAATTATTGATTGCAACCATAAAAGGTAAAATTATCGTTCATCCACCTTTTTGGGAGTAGGTTAGAATCGTTCAAAACACATAAAAACCATCGGAAAACACAATTTTAACCTAACCTAACCTAAACCTCTCTCGGACGGTGGTAACTTAAATTCATAAAATTCAATGGGTGACTGAAATGATAATAATACCCCATAAAGTTCTCAGAATTTCATACTGAGTGACTTCTGCAAATTTAGGGAAACAAATATGTTGGCCATGAAAATATAACGACTGTATTGTTCTAGTGTTAAGTGGGTTTATTCTTACCAGATGGGCTGTGGGTATGGAGGGCAGTGTATTTTGTAAAAGATTGTCAAAGTCCCAGTCCAAGCGGAGTTTGAAGCCCAAGTCAAAGTACATCAAACCGATAGTGTATAGTAAGTGTGGTAGAACTGTTGTGCAAGAACAAGAGAATCAACCCGGAAGAATGTGAGTTTATTAGAGATGGATAACACTCATTTACAAACCTTCCTCAAGCAACTTGCAAAAGGGGTGTGAATATCTATGCTAGGCAAGACAAGACCTTAGAGCCAGCCGAGTCAGAGTGCAGGGGGAGGATGTTTTGAAGAATCAAAGCGGTGTAAAATTAAACTGAAGGGGAGAAACTCACTTATTGTTGGATGTATGTATCGCTCCCAACTGTACCTTAGTGAACCAAAGGAACTTAAGAGCCTTAATTCACAACACAACTGCATTCAACTCTAGCCGTCTCCTTGTCATAGGGGACTTTAACTAGGGCGGATATCGTCTGGAGAAATTAAACCACGCCAAATGGCCTTAATAACCCCACTACTTTCTTTGTAGAAACTCTGAGAGACATTTTTCTATTTCAACATGTTAAAGATCCTACCCATTACATAGGGGAGCAAACACCCAAACCGCTGGACCTCATCATAACTAACAAGGAGGGTATGGTGAACAAGCTGGAACACCAAGCCCCCATTGGCACCAGTCGCCACGTAACGTCCTTCAGATTTAACTGTTATTTGGTTCATGACAAAACCAGGCAAAGGTTTAAATATTACAAAGTTAATTATGACAGTATGGGGTAGGAAATGAGGGGTATTCACTGGCCTGAGTCACTAAGATATAAGAACGCAGACACTACGCTGAATATCATAGCCAGTAAAGTAAACCATTTGATTGATAAGTATATACCCAAGACCAAACCCAGTGCCTCCAGGAATACAAGGAAACCGTTACACATGAACCATGCGGCCGTTGACAAAGTTAACAACACTTCCAACATGTTCATTTCAGTAGTAAACTTGTCGGCACGGGCAACCAGCACCGACAGGCTTCAACAATAGTTCAATAGTTCATCATGCTTTTACCGAGTGCGGCCGCACTTGATAGCATGGTCACATTCATGACGCTTGTCAGTGGTGGCCAGTGCTGGTAACCTGTTAGCGAGTAACCTGCTTTCATTGTGTTCTTACCCTGAGGCTTGAAGGTGGTAGTTGTACAGATTCTGACCAGGACAAGGCGGAGGTGTTGAACAGTTTCTTTTCCTCAGTGTTCACAAGAGAGGATACAAACAATCTTCCTGTGTTTGAGGACATGCTTTGACACAATGCTGACCCACCCACATTGTGTTCTCAGAAGAAGGTACAGTACTGTGTAATAAATAACTTATCAAAGCTAAAGGTTCATAAGTCCCGGTCCTGACATGGTGCATTCCAGAGTGCTAAGAGAGTTGTGCACTGAGCTTGCTGAGCCCCTGAAGATCCTGTTCTGTAAATGCCTGGATGAGCAAAAGGTCCCCAACAATTGGAATATGGCTTGTGAGAGTCCTATATTCAAGAAGGGCGATTGTCACTCCACGAATAAATATAGACCAGTAAGCCTGATCTGACATAGTGTGCAAGGTACTTGAAAGCATTATAAGAGATGCCATAATGGAACATGAAATACGAAACAACCTTGTAAAGGATCACCAACACGGTTTTATGCCGGGATGCTCCTGCTTAACACAATTACTCAAGGTATTGGATGTTTGGACCCAAATTCTGGAACAGGGTGGCGATATCGACAATATATATCTAGATTTTACCAAGGGTTTTGAGAGTGTACCCCATGAAAGGCTAAGAATTAAACTGGAAGGGTACGGGATTCGGTGTATTGGGCTCGTTGTTTGTATGGATGTTTCATAAATGACCTGCCAGAAGCTATACACTTCTCCATGCAAATGTTTGCAGATGATGCCAAGTTATTCAGGAGAATTAAGAAGCAAGTAGACGGTGAAGAGCTGCAGAAGGATCTCTGTAAGCTTCAAGAATGGTCGAAGAAATGGCTGCTAAGATTCAATGTCACGAATTGTAAGAGGCTGCACCTGGAACGTACCAGTGGTAAGAAGGCATATCATATATCCCACTGGGATGAAGAAACTGCATTAATAGAGTTGAATGCGAAAAAGACCTGGGTGTGTAAGTTGGTAATGAATTTAAGTTCTCGGGCCATTGTAAGAAGAAGGCGAATCAAGCAACTAAACCAGTAGATCTTACAAGAAGGTCTTTCAGATATCAAGACAGTCCGTTCCTCGTAAACGATCTTCAAGAGTGAGGTGCTTCTCTGTCTGGAGTACTGTCACCCCATCTGGTCCCCGAGATACTCTAAGGACTGTCAGTTGATTGAAAATGTCCAAAGGTGGGCCACCAGACTGCAACTGCCTAGCTTATACTGCAGATGGGCAAGGGGTGACCTAATTGAGGTGTAAAAACATCTCAAAATGCACTACTCGGTAGAGTGTTCATTCCTAGAGCTGGCGGATGCCCACCCCACAAGGGGTTCCAGCTGAAGGTTGAAGAAGCCACAAGTCCAGAAAATTTTTTTGGAGTGCGAGTTGTGAACTCTTGGAACAATCTGCCAGAAAGTGTTGTGACGGCACTGGGTGCGAGCTCTTTCAAGACCAGACTTGACCAACACTGGAGCAGATTCAGATATTGTACATTAAAGAGTCGGTGCACGCCCAGTACTTGCAAACAATGTGTAACAGAGACGTGACCAACCTCCCAAGCGGCTAACAAGCCAATCAGTGGTGAAAAGGATAAAGGTAAAAGTAAAACATGCGAAAAATGACCAAATGACTCCTAACGAAACCTGACCTGATCTAACCTTACCCAAGGTCAATGTAGACAGGTTGGACGGACAGCAGTCTATTTATGCAGTGACGTCACCGGAGCGTTTTGTACAACCCTTTCTGAAGCTTGTAAAGGCCTTTCAACAGTGAGATATTCACTCTCATTGTTGTCACCACTTCAATCATTCTATGCAGAACATTTACTTGGTCACATAAATTAATTCCAAATGCATTAAGTGATTGCTTTTCACCAAATTTCTTGTGTTATTGCATCCATATACTGAGCAATTGCTCGGCATATCTGCAGCATTGAGGCCAGTTCAATGAAAATGTATCACGTCACAAAATATTATATTGATTGCCTCAGACAGGGTGTGTACACTCAAATGGCCTGGGTCAGACTGGGGTCAACTTGTCAAGGACAAGGAAACCAGGCAGAGTGGATCAGCTTACTTCATCACTCCCGCCCGCCTCTTACCTCACCTGCACTCTGTCCGACCTCTCTACATTGACCTTGACCTAACCTTAACTTGGTCTTGATGATTGCTCATCATTTCCTGAAAAACTAAATGTGTTTAACTTCTCGATAATGGCAGTCTGTACCTCACTTTGGACACTTTGCATAAATTTGCAGAACACCATAGGCTTTGAAAATGCCAATAGCAGTGGCATTATATACAAAGAATCCACAAATGGTGAATGGTTTGCAATTCAAAGAACGATCATCTGTTGTACAGAAAAGCCATCTTACAACTGACAAATTCCTTGCACAGGAGTATAACGTGCTACCGAGACTTCCGCTGATTGACTGGACACATCACTCGCACAGTACTGTATGATGAAGTGAGTAAAAAGTCAACAATATATTTTGCAGATTTGTTAGTGTTGAACTAAAGACCCTCCAATTTGTATGTTCTTAACTGAAATTGAAAACTCAAGTATGGGAAATAGAAAAATCAGTATTTTTTTCTGCTCCATTTCCCCGATATGAAAATCAACACAGAGTTCCCTAGTTGTACTCTACGAATTATTAATACTGTACTGTAATTAAGTTAGGAAAGGTGAAGTTAGGTCAGGTCAAGTTTTATTAAGTTTGGTTTATCTAATTTTTCACTTATTTTGCCACACAATTTGGGTTGGATTGGTAAGTTTTTCATGAATTTACCCAAGAAATGAACGTGAAATTCATTAAAGGCATTAAAGTATACACAGGAAAAACATAATTTCGTCCAAAAGTCCTGGGTAGCCCTGAAACAAATAATGACGAAAAACTTAAAAGTTCCAGCAGTATATTTTCGACAATACAACAGTATCCTGCCCATTTTATATATCCTACTTATACTTTGATATTAACTAGCATAAAATAAAGAAAGAACTCATAAAAGCTAATGAACAGTTTTATGATTTGCTTCTGTGGATCCTTTGGAAATCAGAAGACAGGTTTCTGTTTTGGGTGTTGTTGGAGCAATTAATAGCTGCACAGGAATTACAACTCATTGCAGATGGTAAAACAAGTGCTCAAGACAGTAAAAAGTGTGATTTCATTGAAATGTGCATCTTCTTTCTGTTAATCCTCTCCTGCCATCTGTTTTTTATGCTGCACCGAGCAGCCTCTTGGCGGCACCACATTCTGGGGTGAACGCGTTTGCCCATTGGAGTGAGCCATCCTACGACAGTACAGTACCTGTACCTGTATAGAATCCTTGGTACATACCATCTATTTAACTTTTCCATATGTTTTCTTTATTGTGGTGCATATAGAATCATTGGCTGTTTCTAATTAATTTAATTTTCCTATTTTTCCACAGTTTGACTTGACTTGTGAACGATCAGGGCTTGCTCCCCTCGCTGGATCAATGTACATGGTGGGTATGTTATTAGGAGCCATCACCATTGGTGATTTTGCTGATCGCTTTGGCAGAAAGCTGGGCATTCTGTTGTCTGTGATTCTCCTGGGTGGAGGTGGAGTTTTGAGTGCTGTGTCACCTAACTACTACATGTTCCTCATTATGCGTCTCTTCACTGGTGCTGGCGGTGTTGGCCTCTTCCAGGTCACCTTTGTCTTGGGTAAGTAATGTTGATAAGTGATTACCATACGTGTGTATCAGCATCTGGAATGTGAAAGTACAGTACTGTACAATAATGAAACCTCTTCACTTTGATACCCAAAACAGAACCTCTCCTAACCTTTAATAAATTGGAGATCTGTGTAAAATGGTATGAAAACTAATGGCAGGTGTAGAATAGGGTTGCCTGAAGGTTCAATGTAATTTTTTTATTGAATGAAATTGTTCCTTCTAAATTAGAGGGTACAAGTAACCTGCACTGTTCATCCTCAGTACAACAATTGCCCTTAGAACAGGAAAGAAACACTAGAAACAAATACATAAGTGCTTCCATGATCAAGAAAGTAGACTACTGTACTGTACTGTACTGTACTGTACTGTACTGTACTGTATGTAAGTGTTCTTGACATAAGAATAGTAGTACAGTACAGGTAGTTCTGCTATAACGCGATAATTGTGTTCTTGTAAAATATCGTGTTATAGAAAATCGCGTAATAGAAATAACAGGGCTTATGGAGAAAATAGGGTTAGGTGCAGATTACTCGAAATCGAAAAAATTTAGTAGTTAGCCTAACACAAAGGATAGCACAGTCTAAATAAATGTTACATTCATATCTAATAATGAAATCATACAGTAAATGTAACACTTTACTTGATGGGGGAGAAGGGTGATTTTGAGGTTGATAAAATCGAGCTTCTCTTCAAGTGTTATATCCTTTCTTTTACGATCATCACCGGGAATTCTATCACCAGAACGCTTCTTGTTGATATTCTTCTTTACTATATTCACAGTTAATACTGTACCACAAAATTGGAGAAATAGTAAGCAAAAATCGCGTTATAGCAAAGAAGCGTTCGCGTTATACAAATATCGTTCCTAATTCATAAATCGCGTTAGAGCAAATTCGCGTTATCAAAACACGCGTTATAGCAGAACTCACTGTACAGTATAGTATAGCAAAAGAAAGCAATATTACATAACAGATCTAACCATCCCTCTTTGTAGCTTAATGATCCGTTTCCATTACGTATTGATCTCTATAACAGCGTCCCACTTAACCATTCAGATCATACTGCAGTGCAGTACTGTATTATGATTTAATTTCATCTGCCTTTTCTAATTAACATTTTACTGTACTGTATAGGTATTAAATAATCTTCTGAAAAATATTTGCTGTTCCATTTCATTATTTGTTCACTGAACATTTGTTAATATCTTAAACACAGAGTTGTTTTGAATGTGTTAGTGGTGTAAGCTATTATGTGTCTTATTTACATTCTTGAAGTCTTAATATAATTGCTTATAAAGAAATGCATATACAGTACAGTATATGTTCTGTATGTAAGTGTATAATTTTTCCTTTATCAGCTGTTGAATTCATTGGTGCCAAATGGCGCACATTCTGTGGAATCATCATTGAAGTGCCATTTGCACTGGGTGAAGCTATGACTGGAGTCTTGGCTATCTTCATCAGAGATTGGCGTTGGCTTCAAGTTGCCGTGACTGCACCAGCATTTTTGTTGATTTCTTACATGTGGTATGTATTTGTAGAGACTTGTTATATATGTATATAGGTATTCAGTATGTATATTTAGGTACTGTTATGTATGTGTGTATGAAACACTGAAGCCAGATGTTACTATTAAATTCATATTCTCTATTAGTGTTAAATGTAATTATCATACTTACCGAAGAATTTGGAGGCCTTTATCACAGTATTCTTTTCATAACCTCTACAAAGTTTTCTTCTACTTAACTAGGATAATGCCCGAGAGTGTTCGTTGGCTAGTATCTCAGGGCCGGAAGGATGATGCCATCAAGATCATCAAGAAAGCTGCCAAATTTAATGGTAAAGAAGTCCCTAAACATCTTTTAGAAGACCCTACCATGGAGGTAACCAATTTGATGAGCTGTTTTTGTTAAAAATATTTTCTTGTTTTCACTCAATAAAAGTACTGTACTATGTTATACTGTACAGTACTCTAAAGAATGAATGATGTTTTTCTCTATGAAATACAGTTATCCATAGGTATAGTGTTCCACCTTTCGATGGTCTTTCCAAAATGTGGCAATTTCGGAATCACTTTATGAATGAATCGATATATAAAGTACACGTACTTGTGTTCTACTCTGGCAGGTTCCAACTGTTGATGGCACATTGTCTGTGGCCAGCAGCAAAGCTGAGCTGGTGATTGATGATGCATCATCACTTCTAAAGAAGAGGACAGTTTTCGACCTCCTCAGGACTCCAAATATGAGGAAGCGATCCTTCAATATGTTTTACTGTTGGTGGGTTGAAGATCATGAGAGGAAATTTGATATTGTTGTATTGGTATAAACCCTACTAGGGTATATCTAAATGTACTTATCCTTTCAGAAATCATTAGAGAATGAACAAATTAATGGACGATGAGCTATATCACTGTATATATCAGGGGTGCCAAACTCATGGCCCGCGGGCCAAATGTGGCCCTTGGGATGGTCAGGTGTGGCCCGCGGGATGACGGTAAAATTTATCATCCCGTGAAATTATGAAATAAATAAATTTAATCATGTTCATTTAGTAAAATGAATTTTACATACTTAAGATCAGACAAACCCAAATGAGGTATTCCTGGTAAGCCAGGTATGGCAATGTGTGAAGCTGTAAACTTCAAAACTGCAAATATGTGATATAGCACTTATGTTGACCCTGAAGAGGGTAACTAAAATAAGAATTGGCCCTCGAAAGGTTTTGAGTTTGACACCACAGGTATACAGTCAACCCTCGCTTTACGCGGTCCCACATTCCGCGTTTCCACGTTTACGCGGTACCCTGCCGAAACCGGAATGCTCACATTCCGCGGTGCGTGTACCCCTTTACGCGGAGAGCGGCGCGAGCAGGGTGCGCACAAGGTCGCCCAGTCATCAAAACATTACCGAGTTCTTCACCCACCACAGCCGGCCCAAGTCAGTGATAGTGATAATTATAGTGAGGATATGGACTTATATGGACTTTGAGGGGTTTGACAAAGAGGCCCTGCAAGCCTCTGTGGTGGATAGTGATACAATTGATACAAGTGATACAGGTGAGGGCCAATAATCTGCCCTCTGCCTCGGAACCAACCCCCCATCCCCGTGTGCCCAGCCATCTTTTCTACTAATGTAAGTGTTAAAAAACCTAATATTATTGATATTTCTCTTAATTATTAATTGTGTGTGCATACCATCATAAAATTAAGAAGTTATTTTTACTACAACGTAGGTATTGTGTCTGAAAATGTGGAGTTTGGGGGTCGGCCCGGTCTCTATTTCAATTAATCCCAGATGTTATGTTGTTCACTTTACGCGTTTCTCACTTTACGAGGGCCGCCGTGGGTTGAATTAACCACGTAAAGTGAGGGTTCACTGTATATTGTTCACAGCACATTACTTTATTGTTAAAGAACAAATTGAGAGCAAATACAAAACAAGAAATAGGTGATGGTAAAGTTAATGACCATACAAAACAACAGTGCAAGTGGAGTTAAGGAGACTTATACAGTACAGTGTACATTATAGAGACTTGTACAGTACAGTGTACATTATATCCTTTCGTGTTTAGTCTTGTGTAATTAGAGATAATTTTTAGAAAATAGAAAGAAGGTAAGAAACTTTTTTTTCAAAAAGGTTACAGTACTCTGGTTCAGTCTCCTCTTTATTTGTTAATTATTATTTTTTATTTTTTTGAAATAATCAATTTGCATTTTAGATCATCTATAGTACCAGAACTCTTTCCACTGTTATATATACAGTATTTTTTATGACTGCCTTAAGGGATTCCTTTTAAATTTCTTCACTCGAGAAACTAACTGTATAGAATTCATGCATGAAAATTGATGAAAGGAAATTTAAATATTTAAGTAATGAGTACAGTATTATGCTATTTCTCTATAGGGTTCAGCTTTCATATGTCACTGCCTATAGATGATTAAGCCATTTCTGGTAGTGTCTGGTAACCTAGCATTCCACATTGACATCAAAAAGTTTTCGAGGGAGGTGTGAGTGATTTAAGTTAGAATAGTTGCAGATATAATTACAGTGTGGTGAAAACTTTTATCTTTTGTGATTATCATTTCAACCTTAATTACTGTATCTGATTTCCTTGAATAGTTTCTGTGGAGACCTACAGTAAATATATTCATGTGAATGCAACTTCATTTTACTGTACTTCTGTTTCATCCCCCATTTAATTCTTATATATTTTTGCACCCGAGTGTCTACAGGACATACAGTATGTCGGAGAGGGCAAAATGGTAGAAATCTAGAGATTTTATGTAAAATCTGGTCACTTTTATAAGCGCAGTATTGGCTCATTAAGTCTTGCAATGTTCCAGTCTACAGTACAATTTTATTTTATTTTATTTTACAGTACAGTACATAATATATTACATTACAATACAGTATATTTATTTTTAAAATTTTCACAAGGTAATTCAGGGGTGCCAACTGCCCTCCTTCAGATATCCATGGTTTTGACTCTTGATTTTAATGGAATAAATTATATTAAAGTGAAGTACAGTATATAGACATGTTTAATGTGATATGTTACCATTGAAATTAATTTATTTTTAGTTTAGTACAGGTACTACAAAATGTACTGAAATTTAACACGTATAACATAATTTATCACAAAAGTTCTTATGCTTTCATATTTTGACAGGGCTGTCTGCACTCTGGTGTATTATGGACTGTCCTCCAACTCAGGGAATCTAGGAGGCAACATTTTTGTCAATTTCATCTCCACTATGTTGATCGAGATTCCGTCATATGTGTTCTCCTATCTCGTCCTTGACAGGTAATGTCTTCTCTCCTGGGGGTGGGGGTGGGTTGAAAGAATTACATGTGACTAAACTAGACGAAACCATGATTAGGCACATAAAATATAAAGGCTAATGTAAACTCTGACAATCTTGTGGCAATATCTCTGGAACTTCCATTCCTTGGAGAAGTTCGGAGAACAGTCTTGTACTGTACAGTGCTGTACAGCATTCTCATTTTTTGATTTGTGTTACTTTCATCATAAACCTTTGAAATTTACCATAAGATCTTGGTTAATATGTCATTTATACCCTGTATACCGTACTGTACTGCTTTTCTGAAGCTTTAAGCATAGTACCAATTGATGGATATTACCATATCATCCTTTGAAAATATTATTTGTTCTTCTGTATAAATACTGTACAGTAATGAAATATTTTCAACTACTTCTTTCCCTGTTTATAAATGACATAATTGCCATTACCTAATGACCAGTGATGAGAGTACAGTAGTAGCATTTCGTTCATCCCATTTGCAACACTTCATTAACATATAAAGTTTGAATGTTTAGACTGTTGGAAGCTTCACAAGGTAAAGTAGCTTCAGAACGAAATTAAGTTGCTTTATCTCACCCTGACCCATTCATTGGTTTTCATTTATTTATATAAATGTGATATGGAACTTATTTTTGCCTTGTATACAATAATATTACTGAATTTGAATTTACATTACCAGTATTTAAAAAAAAAATAATAATTCATTACAGTATTAAAAGAATTAGATAAATTATGTTCTGAGCATTCTTACTTGAATTAGAACACTCAACATATCATCTCTTTTTCAGTTTCTGAAAGTTTGTTTTTAGTTTCTTTCTTGATACTGTACTAGTCTAAGTTACTGTATATGTTACTTTGTAGCATCTATAAATTTGTAATTTTTATTTTTGAGTAGATAAAACCAAAGCTTCCTAAAGTATTTCTTGCAGTGCCAGATCAAGTACTACAGTATATTTAGTTTTTAAGAACAGACAGGAAAATTCCCCCTAGATAAATATCATTATAGAATAGATTTGAGAAACTTTCAGTTTTATCCTACTTGGTCTTTATCCTGAAGATGCCATTCAGCATACTTTCTCAAGACAAATAATACAGTGTCTGTAATTGATAATCAGTTACCTGGTAGATATTTGTGCAGTACAGTAGTTTAAATAGTTAAAGATTTACTCTAATTTAATTTAGCAGTTAAACACAATTTTAAATAAAAGCTTTGCATACAGTACTTTTGTCTAGTCAATAAAATTCTCACCAGTGAATAATACGTCAGTCTTTATGCCTTGAAGTCTGGTGTTACATTAATTGTGGAAAATAATTTTTGGGGACACAAAATGGTAACTTCAACATTAGGCTTTGACATACAGGTCTAACAATGATGGGTATTTTCTTGTTTCACCTGCTGAGCATGGCAGATAGCTAGAAAACAATTAATATCTGCTTAAACTTTGAGCAAGTCTTCAATTTTCCTCTACTCTCCTCCTGTCCAATGGGTCAATGGTTTGATCTCCAGACATACCCAATCCATCCAGCTGTAAATGTGTTTAATATGTAACTTTAATAGTTGGGGAAATGAAGGCAGTTGAATGTAGTGCCACCCATGTAGCTTCTTTGCCTACCAAAGGCTTGGTATATAGGGGGTTAAAAATGTCTGATTGGCTGGGGACAATGAGCAAGTGAAACGTGTTGGGCAATACCATATCCTTGATTATCATGGTACCCAGTGAAAATTATTAAGTGAGAGGAAGCATAGTACAGGGTATGAGTTGAACCTTGTAGGATATGCAAGCATCTTGCTGTATGGATATATTTAATAATTAGTTTGGCTAAAGCAGTCTTTGTACTGTTCACTGGTTGAGGATTTGCATACAATGAAAAGTACCTTTCTTTCATTAGGACCTCCATCGAAGTTTACAGCCATATGCAGTGTTTGTGTAGCTTCCCTGTTTAATAATTGTACAGTATATTCACCTTACACATTCATCATCATTCATTATATTAAGATTATTAGCAAATGCATTATTCACTTGCAAGGACACCTAGCTGCATCCACAGCAACAGTAATGGCAGCAAAAGCAGATGTAGCAGCAGCAGTAACAGCAGCACATGTAGGATCAAAAAACCACAGGAGATGTTTGATCATTTGAGTCATCAGATACACCCTCCAGTGTTGAACTTGTCCATCAAGCATTATATCACTCTTTTCCAGCTTTGTCATGCACTAACACACCTTAAACTTCTTCATGTTCGTCACATGCATGAAAAATTAGCTATTCATCATACTTCAATGTTTTATTTTTTGCAGTGAACTCTTCTTTTTCATATTCCATTGTAATTTACCTTCCTACTTTCCAAGTATTGTCAGCCTTGTTTCCTTGTACAGATTAGTATTTTTTTTTTTATTTGGATTAGGTTTCTCATCATCATTAAATGAGATCTTCAGGATGTTCACACAGCTATCAAGTTAATAAGTGCATCTTCACCTTCTACAGTGCCTTAACAAATTTTAAGAACAAAATTAATTTACAGTTCTGTATTGTTCATTTCAACAACTGATCATTATCAGCATACAACTACTGAGACAGTTGCTGTTTTTACATCATAGTTTGTAACAATCTTTATTTAAAAATATTTGAAATTTGATTTAAAGATAATTTGCATACAGTGAAGTCATAAGTACAATAATGATTATTTTAGGTTACTATTGTTGTCCTATTTTGTAAGATACAGTATTTTTAATAATTTTTCCCTTCTCTGTTTCGATCATCAGTCATAGCCATTTACCATTATTAACTTTCCTCTCATCATTTAGCTTAGTAAGTTATGGTTATTAGTTGGCATACAGTGATAATGGTTATCATTATCACTTTCACATATGATATTATCCGTATCAAGAGCATTTCGAAGTTCATATCCTTATCAAACTCTTACTGGTCTTTAGTATCAATAAATTATGATTTTTATAGGTTCTCGATAGTCACTGAAGGCTGAGAACAATAAAATCTGACAAATATCGAATAGTCGATGCATGGAGGATACACGCAGGGCTCTCCTCTTCAAAGTGCATTACAGTATACGGTAGTAAGGACTTTGAATAAAGAAAAATGCAATTAAAGTTCCTCTCTGACAATCAATGAAGGATCAGTGGTAGAATACAAGCCACATGGTCTCTTTTAAGATGTTTTAATTAATTTTTATCTCAATTATATTTTGTCGTCCTAGATGATCTAATTACATGGTAGATGTCTATTTCAGCTGTCACAGGCTCTTGGTCAACTAATTTTTATTAGAGTCAAAGAAGATAGAAGAATTGAGTAAAGAATAAGAGATTAAGGATGGAAAACTAGCATTAAGTAGGAGGACAGTGTGATGTAAAGAAAATGCGAGAGACTGTTTCAGTAAGCCTCATTTAGTTTAGGTGAGGTTAGGGAAGTTAGGTAAGGTAAAGGTATTGTTTGAGGGAAAATGCTTCTTCTTTAAATATTTTCCTCCTAGTCAAGATTTTTTTCCACACTTGCACTGTAGCATTGGTATTTAGGTTAATATTTGGATGTCAAGTGCCACATTATAGATATTCATAGGTTTCCATACTGTACTTCTCTCTTCTTTCCATGCATTGTAGCTACTTCAAAAAAAATAAATCCTTGTGTTCTCTGGTTAGTTCACTTGCTGTGACAGCTCTTAATATTTTTGCACAAATTCTTACACAGGGTACAGTATTCTTTTAGTGCAAGTACTGTTGTTGGTGAGTGGTTGACTTTACAATAATAAAACTAGAATGCAGAATTTTTCACTCTCGGAAGTTCATTCTCTGCGCCTTGGAAGTGTAAACATGTATGTTGACAAGATATTAGAAAGGGTGCTCTTGATGGCCATCTTGACCAGATGAAAGTAGAATCAAAGAAATACTGTAGCAATATATATTTTTTTATTAATATAAAGTAAGGGCATTTTAATATTCAAATTATATAATGATAATTGCATACTACCATTTTCAGAAGCTCAGCTACTAAAGTTTAATAGTTTCAAGCTGCAGAATGAAATTTTTCTAAGACTTGATATGTGAAATGGAAGCATTCATATGTAATGATTGATCAACATTGCTTACAGAGGTTTTATAATGTATGAAGTTCTTAAGCTAAATGGATTTAATGAAATTCAAGAATTATGAGTCACCTAATTATATAGATTGATGGGAAAGTAATGGAAAACTTATTTAGATGAATGTATGAGTAAAGTACTGTATGTATGTTACAGATCTAAGTATGTTATGCCATGAGAGGGAGATAGAGAGAGAGAGAGAGAGAGAGGTGTGTGGGAGATTTTATTAGAATGTTGCACAGAAATAAAGTAAATGATAAAAAAAAATCAATTCTTTGTAGAAAAAAGTAGCGAGGTTGAGTTGGTGCTTACCTCTGTGTTTTTTAAATATATTTGATAAATCCTTTTGAGTGTCAGAATATGAGGATCTTTAATTGTTAGTGATGTTATGAAGCTCCACCAGTTCGAACACTCTGAGTATGTAAGGGTGTTTGGATTACAAAAGGAAGAAGAAAAGAGAACTTGTACTGGTATTGTCTTGGGCCATGACTTAAGTACATCCAGGAGAGCCCTGTAGGTTGTTACTGAACGTGATGATTCCACAGAATGGGCAGGAAGGGCACGCTCTCCTTTGTCCTTTTGCTTGGCGGCGTCGCTTGCTTCGTATCCGGATTTATCCCAGAAGGTAAACCCTGTGGGCAGACGGCAAACTTCAAGCCCACACCTACGCCACTTTACCCACGCAAAGCACACATGGTCCATGAAGGTGTATGAGGATTAATATGACTTTAACCAATCATTTCTCTTTTCCTTGTTTTTCATCAAAAACTCGAATTTTTTGTAACAAAATTTTTTTTCTTCAAATTATAGATGTAATTTCATTGTTTTTCTCAAATTGCATTAGTGACACATTTCGAAGACTTGCCAACACATCATTATCCAGGAACTTGCCAACATACTGAAACTGAAAACATACAATAAACATACAACCTTTAGCAGTTTCCTGCATTATGGACTACACGGTAATGCGAAAGGTATGTATGCTAGAGACTGTCTGTCAATTGAGAACATCCAAAGGAGGGCCACCAGACTAGTGCCTGCACTATGGCACCTCAGTTACCCTGAGAGATTAGAGCACCTGCAATTGCTTTGCCTATACTATACAGTAGGCAGGCAAGTGGTGACTTAATGGAAGTCTATAAACACCTCGGAGGACATTACTCAGTCGAGTATCCATGCCTGGATCTGGTGGATGCCTGCCCCACTAGTGGTCACAGCTTGAGGTTGAAGAATCCACAAGTTAAAAAATTGTCAGGGCAAACTTTTTCAGAGTGATGGTTGTGAACTCTTGGGACAATCTGCCAGAGAATGTTGTGGCGTCACTGAGTGTGAGCTCATTCAAGACCAGACATGACCAATACTGGTGCAGGTACAGATGCATCTTGGAACCAGAACATGCCCAGTACTTGCCAACAGTGCGTAACAGAGATGTAACTGACCACCCAAGCGGCTAACGAGCTGATCATTGGCGAAAAGAATAAAAGTAAAGTATAGTAAGGAAATAGTATCTACAGAACTAGTTTTGTACAAACTCGGGTAAAAATTTTCTCTTCCGAAGAAGATAAGCACTACCAGCAGCTATAAGATGATATAAACATATCAAATAAACAATAAAATCAAGGAACTGCAACTTTAATTTTAACTTTTAGAAGATTCTCACAACCATGTTTAACGGACTTCTGCTTCAACCAGAAATTTTTTTTTAGTTAATATCCATTGATAAGCATCTCATAAAATTCATTGTAGATAAACAGCAAAATTTATCTCGTGAGATCACAGATCTATTAGAGGCCTGACTGAGTTTGGTAGCTTTTACTGCATGTATGTTCTATGCTGAACCTATCGGAGCAGAAGCCGCATGAAGCCACATGATCAGCTCCTGTAGGGAGTAAAACAAATCTAGAATCAGTAGGCTAATCAGGATATTTGGCAGAGTTGGCAAGTAATCATTCTGTATTAGTAAAGATAATTGAACTATAATGAGCTTTGTGTAAATTATGCATAAAAAATCTTGCTACTTACAGTATAAGAGTAAATTTTGCATTATTCTGCATTTTGAATATTATATGAATACTTTTGTCATTTGTATATTGTCATTATCTTTGACTATTTTCATTGAATTGTTTATAAAATAAACTACTGGTAATACATTAAGGATGTTCTTATTAGTTTCAAGATACAAAATACAATTATATGTCACTATTAAACTCTTCAGTGATACCAAGGAAAGGAGATTGAATTTATTTGTATCAACACATGTTAATTACCCAGTACGCCCAAGTAACCTTAAAATAAATGGGAAAGACTAACACCAAACAATTATAAACATAGCGTAAAATGAGTAACAGCAGACAAGTTTATCAATGCCATAGTGTGGAGCGTGTTTAATGTGTCGTTTTGTGCCAATCATGGGTACTAATCCAACTGTACATTGTTCCTTGTCTAAATTATATGACATCTTTCAGCCAATTTCATCTTTTACAAATGTAGTCATTGTCATTGAACAATACTCTTGCAGTAATGTACTGTATTTTAGTTGGTGTCAAACTCATACATGAAGCACAAAACAACAATGGCGTGATCAGTTGAAAAAAAAATCCGGCACCAGACAAAAGAACCCTGATAATTTTCCATCATTATTTACCAGACTAGTTCATTGAATTTTTTCTGTCAATATGCCATATTTTTGTTCAAAATTCAATAAGTTAATATGTTTATTAGTTGATTTTAGTTTAACAATTCTTAAAATTCATCTTGGGTTCTCCTTGAAGCAGAATATGGGTAAGTAGAAGTATTATCATCACTGTAGCTACAAAATGAGGGTATTGCCACAGTAATCTTGTGAGGAGTAAGCCATCATGATATTACCTTAAGAAATTCATAAAGATAGTTCACTTTCAGTAAGTTGTGTTCACAACAATTGCCAAGTTACTAAAATATCAATGTCTTTATGCACTTAAGGCAGAAGTTTCATGGACTTAGTCATTCCTGGGGATCAGTGTGGCATTACTGCTCTCTTGTCTTGTGGCTGGTATCAGGCTAAATGGTGGTTATTAATTTGGCTGCAAATCTCATTATGGTTTATTTCTGTGTCATCAGTTAACATAGACATTTGCTGCAGCATTAAGCTATTTGTTAAAGTAATTGTTTTTATGTATATACAGTATGTATATATATATATATATATATATATATATATATATATATATATATATATATATATATATATATATATATATATATATATATATATATATATATATATATATATATATATATATGTATATATATGTATATATGTGTGTATGTATGTATGTATGAGTAAAGTTCTATATACTGTATGGGTTAAATTCTTTTGTTATTTCTTGCACCTATTCCTCTCAATTTAATTTGGAATGGATTAAAACTAATACAGAGTAGATGAAAAAATAAATTTTTCATAAAGTCTGGTGTCAGCTGATGACATTGTCTTAGTTGCTCAAGATTCACATGACTAAACTTGGAAGCTTCCTCTCTTCACTCTTATGTTCAACTGACCATGAGCAGCAGAGGGAGTCATACAATTTGTTTCATACCTCGCTTAAATGTTATCAAAGTTGCTGTTACCACACTTGGCAAAATTTAGTTTCTATAGTAAATGGACACATTGGTTTTATCTTTTAAGTGTTTCAGCTATAAGTCAAGACACTGGAGAGGAACAGGAGTGTCCGCTTTAACTTCCTCTGTCAACTTGAAAGTTGGTCATTGCTTATATTTTGGCTCAAATATGCCAATCAAATTTTTTGGGACATATGATGAATAATGACTTTCCCTGCTCCTGAAGATTGGAAGAAGCCTAAGAAATTCAAAATAAAGCTGAAAATGAAGGCTATTGTTTGCAAGCAATCTTTTTAAAAGTTTTGATTCTATTACTCCTGGTGCTAGAGAAATAATGTATTTTTTCTTTATTGGCACTACATTAAATTGATGCAGTATGCATAACCAATAGTGAACTTCCTCAGTACTACACAGATTCAGTATACTGTACTTGGCCTTCAGTTTACCTTCAGTATGAACACTAATTTCCTTCATCAATGCTTGGGAGTTTCCAACAATCCATAAAGAGCATTCAGTGATAGATTGTATCTTATTGAAGGTAAAAATTAAAACATAGCATAAGTACCTGCACAAATGAGATGCAGTTCAAACTAAGTCAATTTATATAGTGATATGATTCATTGCAGAATACAAAAGGTTTATGAAATTGTTTGGAAACAATAGTTGTATATACAGTACAGTAGTTAAATCCACCATCTTTACTGAACCAGCAGATGTATAGAGTTTTTCCACCCCTATGATTGTTTAATCTTGGTTTTCTCTCCATTTTTTATGATAGACCTTGGATGGTTGATTGTAACTCTGAGCCTGGTGGGTAAGTTTGGAATTGCTGCTGCTTTTGCCATTGTGTATGTCTACTCTGCGGAGATCTTCCCGACTGAATACCGGAGTGTGGGAATAGGTGCCTGTTCCATGTGTGCTCGAGTTGGAGGGATCCTTGCACCTTTTATTTCCAACTTGGTAAGTAAATACTGTAGACAGAAGCTTGTTCACTTACATTCAAGATACCGTACCTAGAAACCACCATAAAAAACTACACATCCAGTACTTTAAGATATTATAAAAGAGATATTAATGAAGGTTTATTTAATAAGAACGGACCTTTATAAAATATAAGAACATAAAAATGAAGGAAGCTGCAGTGGGCCTATTGGCCCATACTGGGCAGTCTCGTTTGCACCCCCATCACTCATATATCCATCCAACCTCTATTTGAAGCTATCTGGCATATTTGAGTTAATGATGATATTTGGTAACTTGTTCTACTCATCCACTACTCTATTCCCAAACCAATGTTTACCTATCTCACGCCTAAATCTAAATTTGTCTAATTTAAAGCCATTGCTACGAGTTCACTCCTGGTTGGATAGTTCGAGTACCTTTGTTATATCATATTTGTGGAACCGTGACTTCCATTTATATACCTTGATCATATCACCCCTCACTCTACGTCTCTTGAGGGAGTGCAAATTAAGATGCTTTAACCTGGTTCTGTACTCAAGGTTCCTAATGCCCGGGATTATTCTTGTCATTCTCCTCTGTATTCCTTCTAAGGATTCTATATCCATTTTGTAGTACGATGACCAAAACTGAACTGCATAATCCAAGTGAGGTTTCACTAGCGCAAGATGTAGTTTTAGGATAACCTCGCTAGTTTTGTAACTAACACTCCTTTGTATGAACCCATGTACTGTGCTCGCCTTGTTATGAGCAAACACACATTGTTGTCTTAGTTTAAGATTCGTACTTATTATTACCCCTAAATCTTTCTCAGTCAGATTTCTCTATATCATTGTTGTTCATCTGATATCTGGTTTCTCTGTTTACATCTCCTAGACTAAGTACTTTACATTTGTCCACATTAAATTTCATCTGCCATTTTTAGACCATGAGAAAAACTTGTTTAGACCTTCCTGTAGTACTGTGGTGGCCTCGGCAGATTGAATTACATGCCTAGTCCTGTTTGGTCTTTTATAAACTTTGTAAAATTGTATCTACTTCAGTGGCTTACCCACATTGATGAATATATAAATCACTCCCATAAAGTACAGTAAATGGAAAACAATTGGAAAATGCAAAGTTTTAATCTTGTGGAAACATGACACACTGACACCCTGCTGAAAGGGCAACCATAGTAATTTGAAAATAAATTATACCTAAGAAAAATTCTAAATTAGTCATATCCTGCTAAATTTAGCTTTTTGAGAATTGAGTACTGTACGTACTGTAAAATGGATAGAGAGGGCTGTGCCATCTGATGATATTATTGCACTGTTGTACTTAATCTGTTTGTTGTTTAAGAAGTATGGGTTACCATGGCTCCTGTAACAATCACATGACTATTATTAGTATTGTGCATTAATGACGCATCTTTATTTCTTCAACAGGCCAATACCTATAAGCCACTACCACTTTTCATCTTTGGTGTCCTGTCCATAATCTCAGGCTGTTTAATTGTCTTATTACCTGAGACTGTTGGCTGTGAATTACCACAGACTCTGCAGGAGAGTGAAATGTTTGGCAGGTGAGTAATTTGGACTATCTTTAGTGGTATGGATATGTTGAATGCTTGATGAATACTGTATTAGGCTGTAACATTTTCCAGTAATGCAGTCAAATGTAGAGGGGATGGGTAAACTGTGTTAAGAGATGGATGGAGTCAGTAGTGCTTTGATAAGGTTGAGAAATATGACACTGCTGTCTACCAAAGGGACCGCACACAGGCATGAACGTTTATGTTTAACTAGAAATGTGTGAAATGTTATTCCTTGAATGAAACCTTTTAGTAAGCAGTAAGTACTGGAAATCAATTATGAAGAAATAAAAGGGATGTGAAAGTTTTACTACACAATACTTCACCTTGTATGGGTTGATAATAAATGTCATCATCCTCATCACTACTCTTTTCATTGGTATACCTCCCCCCTTGAGCTAATAAACTATTCCAATTAAACCATTTTTAACAATGTGAAAATAAATAATAATAACGAAAAGGGAAAAAAAATAAAAATAGCATCACTAATTGAACAGTAAGCTCATCACGAACATACAGAAAAATATTAATTATCTCGTATTTCAACAATACGTTGGTATGTTTAGTTCAAATTTGTACTCTTCCCCCCCTCCCCTTAGCAAATTTCTGGGTACGCCACGGACTCTTCTACGGTCATAGACACACTTACGTGGGTTATTCATGGTTACGCGATGCCTGCTTCCCCTGCTGCATAGTCTCCTGTAGCTTCTCCCTTCAGTAATTTCTCACTACTTCTACCCATGTCATTCTTTGCTTACCCTTAGCTCTTCCCCTCTACAAATTTAAACTCTTGCATCTCTTGACCCAGTTGGTCAACTGTTTTCTCTATGCATGGCAGAACATTTCAGCCTACCGCTACAAAAATCTTGCCAGTAGTCTTAATATCCAATTGCCCTCTTAGCTCTGAACAGGGTTTCCTATTTTTTAAGGTCACATTATACGTCCATCTCCCCATCCTCATACATTGATTGGCTAGCTCTAGCTTACATTTCATCCTCTTTAACTGCCCATGTTTTACTGCCATGCAACATCACACTTCTTACAGTGGTTGCATACATCTCTCCTTTCACATAAGGAGAAGGTCCTCTTGCAATTAATAAAACAACAGCTCTCTAAACTTCCTCCAGTCCTTCTGACTCCTGTAGCTGAGGAAGCTTCACTTCCAACTTTGTTCATGTCACCCAGGTAGCAGAACTCAATGACACATGAGGCCACATGATTACCTGCACATACAGCACACTTAAAGTCAGCCACATCCTGCAGTCTCTTGTGTACCTGCCTTCCACAGTACAGTAGAATGTCGATATAACACGAGATACGTTCCAAGAATTGGTCGCTTTAAACCGAATTCGCACTAAATCAAAGTGTTGTTCAAATCGAATAATTTAGTTTGGTACTTGAGAGAAACACAAAATGCTAAAAAGACTGAGAGTCTACTCAGATGCACCTCAGCCCATCTCCTAGAATAAACAAAACATTGTTTTTTGTACAGGTTGTACCTCTCTAGTCCGGCATTCTGTGGTCCGGAAACTCCCGTGGTCCGGAACGATTTTAGTTTGTCCAATAGGTAGATAGGCAGCTTTTTTTTTTTTCTTTTTTTTTACTTATCTGAATTATTATTATTATTACAGGATCATTAAATTTTTGCCCCTCAGGCCCTAATGTGGGTCAGTGACCTATTCCCGGGTGGGCTAATCCCCTTAATAAAAATAAAAAGTCGCAGGAAATTAAGGTTTGTTTACATCCGGCAGTTCGGCTGCTCTCTCTCTCTCTCTCTCTCTGCTAGTCTATACAGAGTACAACATTTAACCCTTCAATATATATGAGCAGTAAATAAGTATTGCTTTCATATTCTTATGTAGAGTAATGACGATATATTTTCACATGTGCGCACTTACATACGAGCAGTCTCACTTTTTTTTTTACCATTAATGGTTAGCTACTTATATTGTTCCATTTATTAACATTAAATAACATTACAGGTACTTCAAGCAACCATATTCATTTTTTACATTAATTTTACTACAGCTAAACTCAGGGTCTTATTTTCTTCAGTTTTATATGTAGAACCAATCAGTCACTGGTTTCGTAAGCTTTAACATAAACAATGCCGGCAGCCGTCTCGTCTCCTCTAATATTCCACGTATTATTAATAAATTGTATTGTTAATTTTGCACACACGTACATTAATTCAATAAAAACAAATTCAGAAACATTAATTAAAATATATATGAACAGTAAATAAGTGTTGTTTTCATATTCTTATGTAAAGTAATGACGATATGTTTTCACGTGTGCGCATGCGCACTTACATATGCGATCTCTCTTTTTCTTTACCATTATCGTTAGCTACTTCTATTGTTCCATTTATTAACATTAAATAACATTACTTAAAACAACCATATTAATTTTACTACAGCTACAACCAAGGTCTTATTTTCTTCAGTTTTATATGTAGAACCAGTCAATCACTGGTTTTGTAATCAACGAAAACAATGCTGTGTCATTTCCTCATGTGTTTTAATTTTCTACGTATTATTAATGAATTGTATTGCTCATTTTGCACACATAAACATTAATTCAATAAAAAAGACATTCAGTAATAAACAATAATGAATCTTTTGTACATAAGAGAAATGACGCTGTTTACACGATTATGCACGTCGTCTGCACGTTGGCGGGCCGTTCAAACCCATCGAAATTCAAGTTTCCGCCGTCAAAATTTTTATTTATTTATTTTTTTGTGTGTTCCAATAAAATACGTTAAGAATTAAAAACTCGCGAAATTTGAGAAGCTACTATACGACATTTAACCCTTCAATATGTCTTCAAAGAGACCATGACGCAGAGAAAGTGGTGCTAGTGCTTCCAGGCATAAGCACAAGTCACTATCTATCCAGGAAAAGGGTGAATTTCCATGGTCCGGCAATTTCCATGGTCCGGCACCGGTCAGGTCCCGAGGTTGCCGGACTAGAGAGGTACAACCTGTAGTATTATGCTAAAACAAACACTCATAAATCAACACGGCTAAAATTAAGGTACGCGAAATGGTCTGTTTATTAGCGATCAGCTGATGTGAGAGGGTGGTCGCGCCGGCGCCGCGCTCCACCTGCCTCTCGTCTGACTCACTAAGCACTTTCACTTTCCTCTCAACTTAGTTTTTAATTACTTAATGCTATCAAAAATAGATTTTCACTCAACTTTACTTAGGCAATTCATCCTCTGAAGATGCAGAGCCCAACTCGACCAGCTCATCATCCACATCACTCCAAATTGGCGCCCCCACACTTGAAGCACCATTTCCTTGCTGTAGTGCTTCCAGCACCTTGATTTTCTGCTTCAGTGTAATTGCTTGCCTTGATTTCATGGTCTTTGGGGTAGTTAATGATGTAGTGGCTGGCCTCTTGGACATAGTGGGGATGGTTGATGCACGTGGTAGGAGATAGTGTCACACAATATGTCCGTTCACTAGAGCATCAGTGCGCGAATTGAGGATGTGGGAGGGTGGCGGGCAGCCATGTAGCGTGCCCAGAGATGCGTCTGGCGGTAAACATTAGGCGTGAAATTTAAAATAGTGTGTATTTCCATATGATGCGCCAGATTGACTCGAGTAAAATAGGAAAGATTCGCTTTAAATTAATACGTTGTCCTTAATTGTGGGTGTCGCTTTAAATAAATAATTTTAAATTGAATTGCTTTAAATTTACGTTCTACTGTACTGCCTATTATTGAATTCCTATCAACACCTTTCTTAAAGACAGCATGTGGTCATTTTCTCCACTTCCCACCACAAGTCCTTCACACATGTCACATGCACTATCATACCCTTTGACTCCATAACATCCTTCTATTTTTTTTATTTCTCTGCCACCTCTTCAAAGAATAGACCAGTTGCCAAAATGGCTAGAAAGTTGATAAATGGTCAAATGATAAATAAATAAACCTTATCTGTTGTCAACACTTAAGTTACTTTTTGCTTTTACTTTTATCCTCTTCGCCACTGATCGGCTTAGCCGCTGGGGCGATCGGTCACGACTCTTTTCCTTTATATTCTTCACCAAAAGGTCGGCTCGCTAGGGCCGCCTGTAGGACGTGGTCACGCTCTCTCACATGCAAGAGACTGTTGGCAGGGGTCACTGCTATGTAACTGCCCTGAATGTACCTGAACCCGCCCAGTGCTGGCTTTGCCTCTCTGGCACACCTGCAGCTCACACACTTTCTGGTAGATTGTTCCAAGAGCTATAACCCCAATTCAAAAAAAAGTTTGCCCCACGGCTCTCCGTGACCAGTGCTTCAATCTTGGAGCCAGGACCTCAGTGAAGGCCCGCCAGCTCAAGTATAATACACCAAACCAGAAGTCTCCTGAGATTATAAACCCCAACCAGGTCCTCCCTGTCAGCATGGTTAGCAAGTTCAGGCCAACTCAGAGTAGCTGAGATGTCAAGTGCAGGCACCAGCCAGGCCCTCCCTTGAACATTTTCAACCAACTGACAGTCCCTAGCATATCTCTTTAGGACCAGATGGGGCATGCACCCAGATGGGAAGCACTTCACTCCTGAAGATCAAGCCGAGAATGGATCAGCCTGAGATATTCCACGACCTTTCCTTATAAGGACCATAATTTATTTGCCTGATTTCTTACCTTTCTTCCTCACAATGGGCCCAGTGTCTCAGCTCATTGTCAACATACACACCTAGGTCCTTCTCACACACAGTCTCAACACATTTTTCTTCATCCCGTTAAATATATATTCTCATGGTACCCAGGTGCATCCTCTAAGCACTGTGATATTGAACTTGCAAGTCATTCCTTCGACCATTCCTGAGTACCCACAGAGTAACTTGCAGCGCTCTTCACAGTCCGCTGGTTTTAATTTCCGAATAACTTAAGGCCATCAGTAAACATTTGTATGGAGAGTGTATTAAACGCCAGGCATAATACGAGAACAAACAAACCAAAATACGGCCCAACATCATTCTGCAATTCCCCACTTGTTACAGGTACAGATGACGATTTCAGGCCATTAATCACCACACACATTGCTGCGCCTATAAGGAGCCCTTATCCACGCTGTGACATTTCCGACTCAGACTCTTCCAGTTTGATTTCAATTTCGGGGGCACAACGTTTCAAAGCCTTGGTAACCTAGGTAAACACACGATATTACTCACCCTGTTCTAGAATATGGGTCCAAATATCCAACACTTTATACTGTGTCAAGCAAGAGCGCCTGTAAGTATAAAACCGTGTTGGCAATCTTTGGTTGTTTTAGTAGATGTTCCATCACTGCATCTCTGATAATACTCTCAAGTATTTCTTTGTATATATTATTATGCTTTCAGTCAGCCCACTGCTCCAAGAGGTTAATTGTGGAGTGCCCATCGCCTCTTGAAGATAGGACTACATAAGCCACTTCTTTCCATTCAATGGGGACCATTTGTTCATCCAGGCGGATGGCAAACACAGAATCTTCTAGGGCTTTGGGTAAGCTCACAGACAGCCCTTAAGAATTTAGATGCACTGATGTCAGGTCCAGACTCAAGGACCTTTTAGGCCTGACAGTTTATTTCTAATACCCTCTTCTCAGAATACTGGTGTCCCACCATTCCTCAAACGCAGAAGGTTGCATCCTCTAGAAATTATCTGAGGAAAAGAAGCTGTTCAATGCTCAGCGATCCTGGCTGTAATCTACAGAATTCACCATCTCTCAAGCCCTCACCATACTTACTGCTTAATTTCCCTGACTTTGCATAGCTGTAAAACTTCGGCTTGACTCGACCTCACAGGTAACCAGCCTTTTGAACTCTTTTCAGCCCTCCTATACTCATTCGCTATTTCGGTTTCATACATCCTCCTGTCTTGCTCATCGCCAATCTAAACCCACGCTCTTGAATTTTCGTTTCTTTAATTTTATTTGATCACCGTGATGGACGTTCGTATGGGTAGGATCCTCTTATTCTGTAAAGCACCGGTTTATTCGGTATATATTTATCGATCAAATGGGTCATTTTACTAGTTATGATATTCAGCGAGGTCTGCGTTTGCACCATTGTCAGCCAGTTGATGTCTCATTCTCTCATATCCCATTGTAATTTTGTAACATTTTGCACCTTGGCCTGGCCTCTTATCTTGAACTAGGTAACAGTTAAATTTGGCCCACAACACTGTATGGTGACTGGTGCCAACTGGGCAAGGTAGCCCAGGCTTGGCCACCACCTCCTCATGGTGATGGGAGGTCAAGTGGTTGCATGCCGGGTTCCCCTGTAATGTGTCGGCCTCACATGCTGGAACAACAGAAAATTTATCTCCTCAGTGAGTTTTCACAAAAGAGCAGCAGTATCACGAGTCCTGCCGCCCGGGCTGACTCTGTTTCTCCAGCTCATGTCGCCATAGTTAAAGTCCCCCATGATAAGGAGGTGGCTGGGGTTTACATCGCCGCATTATGATGGGAAGGTTCTCAAGTCTTTGATTTAGTAATACACTGGATCTGTAGATACACCTTGACGCATAAGTAAGTCCTCCCTTTAATTCTAGACTTCTTACACCACTTGGACTCTTCAAAGACATCCTTCCCTCTGTACCCTGCCTGGCTGCCTAATAGTCTTAGTTCTTAGCTGAGATAACCACATCTCCCCTCCTGCAGGATTTTGATAGGTTCGTAAATGAGTCATATCCAGCAATACTGAACTCACATTCCTCTTCTGGCTTTATTCTCTCAAGTTTCTGTACACATGGTTCTTCACAACTCACAATATCTTGTTGGTGTAATTTCTTAGTAGTGCTCAAATCCTCCTCTTATCCAGGAACGTGTCGCATAGGTGTTTGATATTCAAGCCAGAATTTGTTCTCGGTAACGCTCTCTGTTTCAGGGGGTAATGAAACCTTTCTCCACCCACATTCTCGGGCCAGGCATTGCCATAATTGTATTTTGCAGGGTGTGGTTAAAACTTCATTACTACACGGCGCTGTTTTCCTGGGCTGTCCCGGTAGGCCTGGCCCAGTGCAGATTAGTAGATATTAGAATCTTGCAATAATGCCTCTAACACCCTGGTATAAAGAAGGGAGCTCAAGACGCTCAGGACCCCTACTTTCACCTTAAATTCACCCATATTTTCACAGTGGTTCTCGAGTCCTCATACAATTCTATAAACAATTGCACACGGCAATCCTTGACCACTATCTTTCTCCTCGCTCACTGTACTACAGTACCTCCCGTGGTACTGTCCCATATAAATACATTCTTTGGGGTTAATACTTTCCATAAATCTCTTGCTATAGTCCTCATTTAACTTGATGAAGGCTGACAGTGCAAGTCTGCTGCTTGGCTGAGTTATTGGTGAGCTTCCTGCTTGGTCAAATATTTTGCATTCTTAAATGATGTTAGGAGACCTTATTGATTTTATTTTTTTTTTGAGGAGAGATTTAAAAGCTAAATATTTACATTTTTTCAGTGACCAGCCAATCTGGTACTTTTCCTGTTTCGGCAAACGCAAAGACGAATCATCATCATCTAAACAAGGTGAAACCGAAGATGACCAGAGAGTTTAACCAAGATAGCAAGACTACATTCATAAGAAGCTTTTAGAATGTTTATTTTTCAGTACTGTAATAGTCTTGCTTATTAAATATTGAGGAAAAATAAGTTTTGTATACTGTATTGCAGCATACTGTATTATAATCATGCATCTCTATAATTTTATAATACGAAGAGATGTCAACCATAAGTGTAAGTATTATAAAATTATAGCTTGTTACTGAATATGTATTGTACAGTACCCGTCATATACTTCTCACATTTAAGGATTTCTTTTGTTTTGTTTGGGTCATTTAGCATTAAAATGATTGATACAGTACGGTAAGTTGTGTTACACTCATGAAAATTTAGCTCATTAAAATATGGCTTAATGGGATGTCAGGCCAATGGGCCCCACTCACACTGCCACACACATTTTTACAACAATGAAAAGAAAATACTTTTTACAAAATTTACTACCCTTGGTTGAATTAATTGTTATTTAGGACTATAGGATTTTTTGTTTTTTTTCTTATTTGTATGTGAAAGATCTTGACATGTTGACCTCATAATGAATTTCATTATAAATCTGATTATAAAAATAATGTGATGATCCAGCAGACTTCATAACAGTAATACTGTATTGTACGTAACTTATCACAAAAGTTTTTTGTTAGATTTTATGAATGTTTGCAGCTCATACACATCTGGGTGAATGAAATTTAATACATACTCATACAGTATTTCATGTTGCAATGGAATTATTAATTTAAGCTGTTACAGTATATAATGATGACTGGTTGGCCACATCAGCATTACAATTTCATGTGATGGACAGGCACCTCGGACTACCTAAGCTGTCATTTAGAAAGTAATATTTTCTCTAACACTGTCAGTTATATCTTGTGCAAATACATCTACCTCTCTTTTTGTCTCTGTGTAGCCTTCATGTTTATCCTTAGTGCAACAAGTAACTAAAACTTCTTTATTCTTGTGGTAGCTAAACCAGGATACATTTTTGTTTCAGCAGTTGTATTAATTAGGATTCCATATTAATTAGTCTTGGATATTTAACACTTGAAGATGTGGGTATGCTCAATAGTTCAAGTGTTTTAGTAAGGATTCTGCCAGTCACCTTACACTTAATACAGAAAAAGAGGTGTATGTGTTGTAGATAGCTACAGTATATAGGTAGGTGTTTGAAGCCAGAAAAGGAGAACTCTGTACAATATCTGTAATTAGTCTTCCTGAAGGGTTTCTTTGTTATAGTACTGCATAGTTAAGTTTTATATAATCATTGAGTAAACTCTAATGTGGAAAAATGGAAGTAAAAAGTCATCAAAATTAGTGTAATAATTTTTTTAAAGATACTTTTAAGAATGTTAGGTAAATTTTGTATTACAGTACAGTACTTGTATTGCATTTTTAGTAATCTAAAAAAAATGAAATTGTGAAATCATCGAGACCAAAACAGGGTGACCTGTAATATATACGATATCTTAGACATGTTTATTGTGTTTTTATACTTTTTCACTATATATATATAATGTATTTTTGTATATCTGTCCTCTACCAGTGAAGCCAGACTGGGCAATAGAATTTCCATCCCCTGCATATTCATTATTCTGTATGTCCATCTGTATTTCTATTTGTCCGTCCGTCCCAAAAAGTCAACGTGCAAAACTGGCAAATACATTTTTCATTTTGTATTAAATACTAGAGCAATGGGCCATCAATGTACACAAGAATCTGTTTTTCTGTATTAGGTAAGAAGATTGCTGGTAACCATCTGGTAGGGGACAAGTACTGCCATGGAATACTGCTTGTTAATATTATTATTTTGACCATTCTTCCACATTTAGGTTCAAAGTGAGACTATTATGACCCATCATGGATTCTCATTTGTAAACATTTATAGACAGTATTTACATTGTTGTGTAATTCATATGCAAAGAATTGCATCTTTAGCTGTGAAACAAAATAGAATTCTTAGAATAAACTTGCTATTGTTTAAATCATAAAATTCAGTTATTCAGCCAGAATAATAATATAGCCATACTCATATGTACTGTGCACCTGTATTACAATATGCATATATTGAATGACCAGTGATTATTACTACAATACAGTACAGTATTAAAAATTGAGCTGAATGTAGGACATCATCAATTCATACTGAACAAACATCAGCGTTAGTCAGACTATAAATTTTTAAATCTTTGATGGAGAGGATTTACTCTCTAAAAAGCAAATGCATTCAGATCCTCTGATGCAGGATAACTTAATAAATAGTAATGTCATTATCATCATAAAATATTGTACATGCTTGTCAGAAGAAGGTTGAGACATTTTAACCATGGTTACTTATTTACCCAAAAGTCTTTTGTATCACAACCCTTAAATGTTCATTTAAATTGCATTTGGATATTTTTGGATATTAAATATTTTTTGTTCAAGTCGGAATGCGACGCTCAGCAATGTTACCTAGGTATGTTAATTACCAGCTAACTCGCTTGAGCCAACATGCAAACTGATTAAAACATCCTAATAATTAGCAAGTAATATTAGGAGGACACATCACCTGGCATTTAATTGCAATACTCAAGCCCCCCTCCCCTTCACCCCCACCATACTCATCGATAGCCAATCTCTTGGCGATTCAACAATAAATACACATGAAGGAGAGCTCCATGATTTGTGTTGTAATTGCTGAAATACTAAACTCGCGGATTTTATATATAGATATTTGTACTTATTAGCACAGTGATGAAGTAAAGTGGCTGATACATTATGTCTCTCCAATTTATTGTATTTGGGACATTTATCACGAACTCTGGTCAGCATCTTGGCAACCACAACACTTCTGCTTTGTGAAGTCGTTTAGATCGTTGGCTGACTATTCCTTACACTTTTAAGTCCTTTCGTTGAATGTATTTCAGCGCCTCCCAGGCTTTCGTCTTCACTGAAAGAATATGAATATATCTATTTATATATACATATATATGTATACTATTTACGGTTTTCTTTACATACAGTATTCACGTGCTAATATGAATGCCATGACTGTCTCTCTTCCTACTCTTATGTTAGTTCACAAAAACCTTTGGGCTTCACGCCCTCAGTTTCTAATTGCTCTCAGCATAAAGGCCAGAGTTGAGTTTTCTGCCATAACTTTATTTTTATTGATGTCCTCAGTAATAGGGTTCAGCCTTTCGAGCAAACTTTTGAAGGCTGCGGTTTCGCATTTCCTTCGAATATTTGACCTTCAGTCTTCTAACAATCTGAGTTATGTTGAAATGGACTTTAACCATATTGAGGTTATATGAACAATTCAGGATTGGAATTCTCAACCCAATAAATACTTTAGAGGAATAGTGAAAGCTGTTGCCTGAAGGTACTATTAGCGACTCCAACTGTCAACCCCTGCCGGGTGATAGTCATGCGTGAAATTTTAAGCAAAGTTATCACTTGGGGGATAATGTCTGTGCCCCTGATTGGCAACAAATAAAGATCTTGATCCCTCTAAATAAAATGTTCTGAATGAAATCATTTTATAAAAAACAAAAATAAATAAATAAAAAAAATTGAGCTAAGGGATACTTGAGATAAGAGTCGGGAGAGAGATACGACATAGTGAGTTAATTGTTTATAATTGTCAAATGAGTGACTTATATAACAATAAGAGATCTTAATGAATTAACTTACTAATAATATAACAATTATGAGTCATATTGATTAAGTATGGGAGAAAATGCTTTCTCCCTTATATTTTTATAATGATATAATGTGACTCATGGTGTCCTCCTAGTTTAGATGAGTGATGTGCATCTGGAGGATGAAGGACAGGAGTCCGGGCCTATGGATGATGGAGGAGACTATGGAACTGTCCCTGAGGAGATACTATTGAGTGATGAGCTACCAGGATTAGAAAGTTCAGCTCAGGTACTACATACAAGGAATTGTCTGTCAGTAGAGAATTTGAATTCAGTAGTAGTAGTTTCACCCAAGACCCAAGGGGGCCATACTACATGTAATTATAAAAAATGTAGAGCCACTTGGATTACTAAGATAGATCCTCATGTGGCTTGCATAATTCATGGCAGCTGTGTCTCAAATAACCTTTATTCACTGATGGATTGTGCAGTTTGTTATGATCAAATTTTTCAATTTCATCAAGCTACAGGTGATAAGAAAGATTTATTGCAAATACAAATTAAAAATAGGTGGAATAAGGCCCTGAAGAGTAAATTTTTGAATGTACAACAATGGAAAGATCCCAAGTTGGCAGAAAGTTTTGGTTTGTTGGTGTTAGGTAAAAGACTTATCCCCACTTAGACAAGCCTGCTTCTGCTTAGAAAAATAAGTTATTGGACCCTCCTGACAATGGGGCAAAGGGAAGTCTACAAAAATCTCTATCTACTCAGTCTGATTTCAGTGGATTCCAGGATCAGGACGATGAGGCTGGTTCTAATCATAATATTCAGTATCTTGAGCAGGAAGAACCTGTTGAGACTGACTTCATCCTATCCACATCTTGGCAACCACTTCCTCCTGGGGCAAAAGTGTTGGTTACTAGAGTGAAAACAGGCTGCTGTCGATTGCCACACAGCTGCTGGATAACATTGAGTGTAAGGATGATCCCAACAGGCCATGGATAACATTGGTAAGATCTAAGTCTTCTTTGTTTTCTACTACATCTGAATCTGTGGATTCTGTATTCAAAATATTTTATGAAAATGTCTCTAAGCTTCCTGATATTTCGGCAACTACAAAGAGACAGGAAGGACAAGCAACTTTGGGTCATCATTCTTTGTTTTTGGAAGGTGATACTACACTTTCTTGGCCTGATATTTGCCCAAAGATGATCTCTGAAATAGACGAAGTCTGGGCTAATTTATTGAAAGACTTAACATTCATTCCTGCAGACAGGAATGCTCACAAGTTTAGTTTTTTGAAGTTCCAATTTAATGATGAAAAGAGTTCCTTCTATGAACTTTCCCAGTATTTGTCGGCGCCAAAATATGTTGATATAAGTTATGAAAAAAATTTGAAACCAGTTGCTCCTGCACTGCTGCTTGAAGAATTTAAAATTAGGAAATTGGCAGTAGATGTTTGGTCTGCAATTATGATGTGTACGTTATTAACTAAGTTTGTGCTGGACTATGAAGAAAATTCAGAAGTGGACAAATGTTTTGCTGCTGCTTTACAAGGAATCCCATATTCCCTGTACAACTCATTTTTAGATAATTTGTTGAAAGCCCTAAAACTGAAAGTCCAGCTAAGGAAACAAGCAACAAATAATGCTTCAAGTGGTAGCGCTTATTTGTTGCTACGTTCTTCTCCTCTTTCTCCTGCTTTGTTTGATGAACAATCATTGGTTAAATATAGATCATCTTTTGAGAATACTATTAATATTAATGTCCCCAGGAGTCCTCAGACCTTTCAGAAACCTAGGAAAGGAAGGTTTTACAGGGGATCAGGACCAGCTGCTTGGTTCAGTTATCAACCTAGGGGAAATTTTAGAGGAGGAAATAATCAAAGACGTAATAGAGGTGGCCGTTTGTTCAGAAGCGGAAGGAGACCTTATTCCACCACATCAGCAACTACTCCCTTCCAATGAAGCCAGACAGCTGGGTCGTCTAGGGGGTTGGGAGAACAGATGGACTTCTTCCATATGGGCTTACAAGACAATCAAAGGGGGTCTCACATGGACTTGGTTGAGGCGCCCTCCCCTAGCGTTTCCAAAAAAGGGTAAAAAACCAACCCCCTTACTTACAGGATTTGTAATTCAACTACTAAACAGAGGTGTCATAGAACTGTTACAGTCAGAGAAATGTTTCATGTCTCGCCTATTCGCAGTCCCCAAGAAAGGCATTGACATATTAAGGTGGATTTTGGATCTTTCAGTCCTCAACAAATTTATTACCAAAAAAAGTTTCAAGATGCTCACTTACGACCATCTGAGGCATCTACTTCTGCCCAATGCTTGGATCTCAAAAGTGGATCTCGAAGATGCCTATTATCACGTTCCTGTTGCTCCCAGGTACAGAAAATTTCTGGTGTTCAAAGTAGGGGATGTAAGTTATCAATTCACAGTGATGCCATTCGGCCTGACAATTGCGCCAAAAGTCTTTACAAAACTGGCGAACATTCCCAGAAAGATCCTTGCATAAGAACCTTTGCTTATCTAGACGATTGGCTGATAATGAGAAACTATTTCGAAGATTGTCAAAGGGAGACCTAACATACTCTAGTACTATTTCAAAACCTTGGTTTAAAGATAAACCAGGTCAAATCAAATTTAATACCATGTCAAAAGTTGAATTGGTTAGGTCTCCAGTGGGATACAAATCAGCAGTCAGTCAGTTTACCAGGAACAAAAGTAACAGATTTGATAAACAAAGTAGAAGCCTTTTGTGTAAGCACAAGATTTCTTGGCACGATTGGGAAAAACTTCTAGGTCTGTTGAATTTTGCCACAATAGTGGTTCCATTGGGAAAGTTAAGGAAAAAGCAACTACCTCATCTGGGCTCGAAGTTGCTTCACAGAAACAGAATTGTTGCTTCTTCTCTCCCTATTCAGATAAAGAATCATCTGTTATGGTGGATAAAGTTAGACAATCTAATCGGTCCCTCTCCCTGGGTTCCGCCTCAAACAGGTTTGGTCGTTTGTACGGATGCGTGCAAAATAGGATGGGGATACCATTCTTCAAAAGGGGAATTCAGTCAAGGGAAGTGGAGCAACTTCCTTTGGGACAAACACATAAATATAAAAGAATTAGCAGTGGTCCTATTCTTTTTGTCGGCAAACCCAAATTTACAAAATATGACGATCCTGTTTGCCATGGACAACAAAACGGCAGTGTTTTGTCTCAATCATCAAGGATCAACAAGGTCTTGGCCCCTTCTACAACTGTCAGAAAAATTTTTCAGCATTTGTGTAACACAAACACTTTACCTCAAAGCAACTTATATACCGGGAGTACAAAACAATTGGGCAGATGCGCTGTCCCGTCTCCTGCCAGTATCGACAGAAACAGAATGGTCCCTAAAGGTATCGGAGTTCAAGAGTCTAGTGAAGAAGTTTGGAACTCCACAGATAGATCTTTTTGCCTCCCTAACAAATCACAAGATGCCACTTTATACATCTCTGGAGGGGTCGAATCTTTTAGGAAATGCCCTATTCTTAGATTGGAACCTTTGCAATTCAATCTATCTGTTCCCACCTGTGAAAATATTGCTCAAAATGGTTCACAAACTCAGATCCTTCCGAGGCAAGGTCCTCTTAATTGCACCATATTGGATCCTACAACCCTGGTGCCTGGATCTGCTGGACTGGTGCCCGAATCCGCTAC